ATCTCGAGTGATCGTGAGACGGTAATATCATATCATTCTTCAAACCTATAGATATGAGTTGTTACTTACAAGTTGATTATGCATTGATTGTACAAAAACGCATTGGTAACTCGATGTTATAAGACGTGCCTTTGTGTATAATTCAACGAGTGGTAGAAAAAACATATAAGTCGAAGTTTATATGTTCCTTCTAGGATTAGAAGCTGATATCTGGTCCCCTCGATGATTGTGTTTTGACCTACGTACCGGGCCCGGTCAGAACTAAATTGATGTGTTTAGTTAAGTTCTATGTCAAACAAATCGGGAATAGAGAAACAAATGCTGGACAATAAGTAAGACCATGTTCCATGTATTTGTCCGGCTGATATCTTGATCAGAGGATTATATGATCACTTATCTAAAATGGCTCGTTCTAGTTCAATACAGTTTAAAGAGCGACAATTGCTGATCGATTCCTGAAGTCATACTTGCAACTATAGTTATTAGACTTATCCAAGTGGGAGAATGTTGGATATAGTGTCTAAGTCCATAACTATATTTGGTATGTACTTGACCCGACCCAGCATGGTCCATTTGGGTTGCACTTCACCCGAACAATTTATGGATAATATTTGAGAATAGTACAAGTTATGATTTATTAATATATTATAAGTTCTAATATATTAATATAAGATCTTATTATTTAATTAGTATTGATCTATAATTAATCTAGGATTAATTTAGAGATCAAAGATATTACTAATTACATATGGGATTCTATATTTATATAGTATGGGCTAATGCTTATTTGGAATGGGCTAGGCTTGCATGGAAAAGTCCATGGATACTCCATGGAGCTTTAACCCATGGATCTCATGGAAATCAAGAGACATGGGTATTAGGGTTTACATGTATGTAACCCTAATCCACCACACTATATAAAGGAGGCTTTGGTTCTTGAAATCACACTAGTTGACACTTGTTGAGGTGAGGGCCGATTTCAAGATAGTAGTGACTATTCTCTCAAAGTTCCAAGTTTGTGGTGAGTTGTGATTTCCACTTGAGGCATTCACACTATTGGTGCTAGGCTCTAAAACTCCAAGCAATCAACTACTACTACAAGGTAAGTATTTCTACTTGCTTTATTTGATTCATGATCCCCATGCCATGCTAGTTAGGATATGAACCTTGGAAAAAATAATTATTTGCATGTATCTTAGAAAAACATAGATCCAAGGTTTATTAGGGTTGCATGTACACTTAGAAAGTGTTAGAATGCTCAAAACCCATCAATAGAATCTTCATTCTCACTTCATCTTCGACCATTATCTTGAATTCTTGAAACTTTGAGAATCGTTCAGACTTTTCTTTCATGAAGAAAACCCATACATATCTTGAAGAATCACAAGTGAACATCACCATGTGCCACATCCTGCTAACTGATGTCTGCTTGATTAGACTGAACATATCCGAGTAAATTTAATCTAATGGATTGTTTGCTGTAATAATTGACTCCATATATTGTAATTGTTGAGCTTTACTATACCAACATCCAACACAAATGAAATTTGCTTTGACTTCAAATTGAGGTAAGCCATTGAGCATGGATTTCTCCATTATTACATTCAAATTGTGAGAACTGTTGTGACAACCCGACACTTTTACATTGTTAAATTGATCCATATATCTATAATTCACATGAAATTAGCATCTTTTACCAATATGTTGGGTCCGAACGAGTGTCTTAGGTTTAGTATATCATAAATATGGGCCATAGGAAGGGTCAGGAAGGATGTTACATCGTAAAATCCAGCCAAACACACCAAGAGGGGTGTGTCCAGCCGCACACTAGTGTGTGCGGCCAGCCAGCTAGACACCCAACCGCAAACCCCTTCAGCCTCACACTCGACCCTATATATAGTAGAGGACCTCTTCCATTCACTTTTTACTGCACTCTCTTCCTCTCTCTACTTTCTCTCTCTAAGAACATCACCTAAAATGTAACACCGTAAATTTCCAAACAATTTTTCGCATTTATAAAAACATAATTCATTTGTAAATCATAAAAACATCATTGTTTGAAACTCAATTTATAAGATATAAAGATAACCCAAGATATTGTATCATAAAAATCCCATGTGTGTATTGATCAAGCCGACACCTTCCCGCGGTCCTCACTAGTAGCTGAAACGCATAACACAAAACACTGTAAGCACAAAGTTTAGTGAGTTCCCCAAAATACCACATATAACACATATTAGCCACTCGAGGCTATAACTCTGTGGGTCCGTCCACCCAACTCTGTGAATCCTCAGGTTCTAACTCTGCAAGGATGCACATAATAAATCACATAGAAGAATTCAATGCAACAACAATATATACAGAACACTATATCACATAATTCTATTTACCTACTCAAGGTAAAGTATAGTGAGAAGACTCACCTCGCGTATCTCGGTAACTCGTAAATCCCTGAAATCGCTAGTGCTCGATCTCCTGAGCTATAGTCCTCCTATAACACAATACATCTCTAATTAACACTTTCCGAACTAAAGTTGGCTAACCCTATCAAGTCAAACCGGTCAACTCTGGTCAATGGTCAACGGTTAACCCCAACTCGCCGAGTCTAGCATGGACTCGCCGAGTCTCTATGGGGACCCGATTCCTCTGAGTCCCTTCCGACTCACCTAGTCACTAACCCAACTCGGTTACTCAACCCCTGGTTTGAAATCCTTGAACAACCCGCACCAACTCGTCGAGTCTGCCAATGGACTCGGCGAGTGCATTCCATGCACAACCCCAAACGACCTTCTGAGGTCAGATCTGTTCCACTAACTCATAGATCGAGTCCTTCCAAGCTTATTTATCACATAAAGTTCATGTCTTAGCGCTCATATCACACCTAATGACTCATAAATGGTGTTTTGACCTCAAACACAAAGATCCCAAACCAAAATCTCCATGGATTCACAAAAAGCTTGGCCAAAGGGACACTCTGGACCTCTAAGGGTCCAGATCTAGAACCTAACTCACTTAAGGGACCATGGGAGCACTAGATCTAGCCACAAAAGGGCTCAATAAACCCTATATCAACATGAACATCACCTCAACCGAAAATGGTTCTAAAATAGTACTTCAAATGCGATGTTCTGTACCTTAGATCTTTAGGAAGTTAACCTTCTTGCTTCCTCTTGGCTAAAGCTTCCTTTCCCTTGCTAGACAACACCTCCAAGGTTGATAATGGCTCTTTCTCTCACTCTAAACGCTCAAGTGCACTAAGGTTTCGCTCTGAGTGCTGGTGAGCACAAATGACGGCCATAAGGCCCTTTAAATAGGCCCCAAACCCGAGAAATTAGGGTTTCATTAAACAGCGCGGATTCGTTGAGTCCACCAATGCGACTCGTCGAGTCCAATCATTAATCCGGATGAGAAATCGCGTCTCTACTCGGCGAGTCTACGCACCAACTCGCCGAGTTCTTCCACAAAACTCAAAATATAATGAATAAATATAATACTTGAAATTCCGGATGTTACAATTCTCCCACACTTGAATCTGTCTTCGCCTTCGAAGTCTCATCCTTGAAATAGCTCCGGATGCTACACATACATCTCACGCTCCGGTTCCCAAGTAAGCTCCGACCTTTTCCGATGCTGCCACTGGACCTGCACTAGAGGCACCTCCTTGTTCCTCAGAACCTTGAGCTTCCGATCCACAATCGTAATTGGTCTCTCCGTGTAGTTCAGGCTCGCATCCACCTGAATGTCCCTTAACCGAACTACCTCCGACTCGTCGGCTATACACTTCCTCAACTGAGACATATGGAAGGTATTATGAATCCGCTCCAATTCCGCAGGCAGCTCCAAGCGATACGCTACCTTTGTTGGGTTTTGAGCATTCTAACACTCCTAAGTGTACATGCAACCCTAAAGACCTTGGATCTATGTTTTCTCTATTATACATGCAAATAAGAACATCCAAGGTATTATCCTAATCTAGCAGACAAAACAATGAGTGTAACAAGATAGAATACATACCTCTTTGATGTCACTACAAGAAAAATAGCCTTTAATGACGCACAAACAAGGACACTCGCTGATTCACGTTACGCATTTTTGGGCGCCCTTAAAAATAATGTCAGACTTCCAAAATTTGAAGGATAGTGGACACGTATTTTTGTGCGCCCTTAAATTAGTGTCTCAAGAAAAAAAATAAAAAACACGGACGGCGCTTGATCTTAAACGTGCGTCTTCTGTAGGTGTCGCTTTATAATTTTAGTGAAATGCGCCTTGAGAAGATAACGGGGGGAAAACGAAACCCTAAAATTTTGAAAACCCGCTTTCTTTTCTAGCTTCTTTTCTTCATCTTCACAATCAACTCTCCCCTCTTGTTTCTCTATTGTGATGATGAATGGAGGTGCTTTCCGGTCAATTTCGATGGTTGTTTCCCTCTTGCCCTAATCACGTCGTCGCCGCGAATCACACACCGCCAGGCAGTGGAAGATGATGATGAAGTTTTTCGTTGTTGTATGCCGCCCTCCCTCTTTGTCTCTAACTATCTCTGACCTTTCTTTATGAAGATGATGAAGTTCATCTTCCTTCATCTTCTTGGTTTTCCATCAGGTAATTATCGGGTTCGCTCGTGATGCTAAACTTCATAAAAGAGTTCTTCTCCGGTCTTAGCATGTTCCCGAGTAGCTAAACTTCTTTCATCTTTCGGGATCGATCTCAACCTCCTATTCACCCCTCTACAGCCTTACTTGTAAGTCCACACCACACTTGTTCTTATCCTGTTCTGTAAAATCAAGAAACATTCGAAAACCTTAGGGTTTTGCTTCTTATCATCGGTGAGGTCGCCTTTCTTCTTATCAGTACTAGGGTCTCGTTTCTTATCATCAGTGAGTCCTCGTTTCTTCTTATCAGTATCAGATTTCATCTTGGCGAGGGGCTAGATTGACGAGACCTGTGAGACTTCTGAGATTGCTCCATGTTCCCTGTGTGGCTGTGTGAGGATACAGATATTAATGGATGCGATAGGGGTTAGCAAAGCTCCTTATTTCTTCTCTACCAGGTATAATAATTGTTCCTTAAAATGGTTACTTTTCCTATTCATCACTGTTAGGGCTTATTTCTTCTCTGGGACAAATTTGATTCTTTTTCTGATATGGGAACCAAAACACGCTAATGGTCTGAGGATTCCTTAACCTATGAACATTCACATTTATCTGTTATAGTGAACATCAAATCTTGTGTTTGGATACAATAACAAGCAAATATACCTGCTGCTTATTTAAGTTCAAATATGGAGTGGACCAAACAACAAGACATTCTCAGAGATCTTTGTTCAGGGCATTGCAGTTACATTCAATTTACACACTTCAATGTGTTTCCCAGTGCACTATATACATATCTATCTCATAGGTGATATTTTGTCATTATATCTTTCCTTGCTATTGTAATTATTTGAACTTATTGATGCTTGCTTTGATATATCTTTGATATAGACGTGAATGCCCTCCTCACGAGAATTCCATCCAACTAAGCAAACACTTAGGTTTCTTTCTTCAATGATCCCGAATATTAGATATTTCACAACTTTTGATAGGTGCCAGGTTCAACACATTATAATGTTCCTTCCTATTTTATAGCTTGAAGTTTGAAGGATATTATTGTAATTTGGTGGTATATTAGGTGTTGTATTTGCCTGAGAGTGAGAGTTAGCAGAGGTAGGAACCGCTGTGAAGCTTTCCGCTCCAAAACCCCAACTGGTGGTGCCGCCTTCAGCCGCTTGCTTGTTCTGGTGCCCATTGTTTCTTGTTCTAAAGATTTGGATTTGTTTCTTGTTCTGGTGCCTTCAGCCGCTTGCTTGTTCAAGGTTATTAGCTAAAGTATGCCCTCAGTCTTATCATGTTAATTTATGACAAATACTTTTTCTTTTTGTTGTAAACTTCATGAAGTTATGAATTACTGTTCTTGACAGATGGGAAGAGAGACTCGAAGATCTCTTTAATGGTTGACCCTTTGACATGCTTGATGCTACCCTCACAGACATCGTTCAAAAGTTCCCACTAGACATTAAGGTAATACCCTAAGGACTCGAGAACAAGATAATTGAACTACAAGTGTCGGTTGACCGCAAACCCAGTAGTTGTTGACCAACACAACTGTAAGTGCAGAAGTCAACCATGACTTTTCTAGCAATGAAAACACGATTACAATTGGTAGCAATCTTTTACATAAAAAAATGCAGAGTCTTGACAAAACTTTAAAGCAATATTTTATATAAAAATGAACTTGTGTTAAAATTATGTTTATTTATTATATGCAGAGTCTTGACAAAAGTTGTTTAGGTCCTTTGAGGAAAGCTTATTGCAGCTCTCTTAATCTACTTTTAAGGCATGAGGTATGTTCAACTAATGAGTATAATTCATACGTACAAATATAAATAAATATTAAAAAAGTTAAAAATTCTTTTTTTTAGGCACGTGAATTTGCTAATGAGCTTAGAGCAATTACAAAAGCATCAAGAAATCCAACTGTTTTGCTCGAAGGTTCAACTGGTTCAAATCAAAATGTAAACAATGTAGATACTTCCACTGCTTTGAATAATATGCCAAAATGCTCATCAAAATGTAAACAATGTAGATACTTCCACTGCTTCGATTTATTTCCTTCACATAGTTCCTTTTTTTTCACACTTCATGTGCTTTGGAGTTTCTGCACTCGCTCAACCAGGAAGTCCTGCAAATGGCAATAAAACACACGAGGACGATTTAGGCATTATGGAGATCGATGATAATGATGACGACGACAACAACAACAACAAAAGTAAAAGTAAAAAACAAAAAATTTCAATTCATTTCCATTTTCCACTTAATTTATATACTGTTGTTGACCTTTCATTTCCATTTTTCCACCTAATTTAACACTTCAGCTCAAAATTTGGTAACTTACCTGAGATCAGCTATTGATATTCTGTTTCTTTGTGGACTAGTCCAGTAGGACTCATCACATGCATGACACAAGGAACTACTAGTCTTCTTAGTAATACAGTTTATGGCATAAGTGAAGCTGCCACCCAAGTCAGTTGAGCAGCACATAAGGTACATTTAATTCCTATTTTTATTTTTAAGTCCATGGTGTTAAATTAAACTAAGATGTTGCCCAAGGTATTGTTGCTTTTATAATGGACGACCCATCTGCATCAGCTTGTTATCTATTTATTTTTTCTATTATCATATCTTGTCACTTCTCAATGACATTATGTGTTTGTTATAGGATCAAGTTCCAGAGAATGGTGTCAAAGGAATTTCTAAGGATAAACCACTGTATGATCTATTTGATTCTTTACTTTAATGAGTAAAATTAAAGTTCTAAGGATATTCATATTCCCCTTCATTCTTGATTTATATATCTACATGGTATAATTATTTTTAATTCTTCCTTTTGCAAAAAGGTATGCTTTTGATCAGTGGGAGGCTTTGCTCTCCTTGAAGAAGAGTGGCAAAATTGATGAATTATTATTACAAGTAAAGCTAGCTGTCCATTGAGTATTGCATGGAGGTAATTACTATAATGCCCTTTTCTTATATTTACTTTGAAAATGTTAATTCTTACCTTTTGTCTATGTAGGATCCACCAAGAGCAGGAAAAACACAAACAATTCTTGGGCTTCTTAGTGCCATATTACAAACCAGCTGGGTATATAAGTCTCTTAGTAACTTATGCAGGTAACAATATTGTTCATAGCTAGGCTGTTAATGTTCCTGTTTGTTTTCATTTATGCAGGTAACAATCTTGTTGAAATGACTTATGAATCAGATATTAATGGTAACAAGTTTAACACTCGAGTCCGTACGATTAGATGTTAATGGTAACAAGTTTAACACATGTGTCTTTGTTATACATACAAATTAAATGCAATGGATTGTATTTTTTGTATATGGTATTTTATTTTATATTATGCAATGGATTGTATTTTTTGTATATGGTATTTTATTTCTATTATGAGACATTAAATGCAAATTTAATTTATAAATTAATAAATATATAAATATATTTTTTTTAAATTAAAATTACGATACGCAAAAATGTGTGTCATCTTCATTTATGACATGGCCTTTCTTGACTGGTGCTTCCTTGATACGCATTGCGTGTCATAAACACGCGCGTCGTAAGGTTACGACACGCAAATGCGTGTCGTCTTTCTTTATGACAGGGCCTTCCTTGATACGCAATGCGTGTCATAACCGTGCGTCGTAAATGCGCATCATAAATGCGCATCGTCTATAGATGACGCGCAAAAGCGCGTCATCTCTCTTTATGACAGGGCCTTCCTTGACACGCATTTGCGCGTCGTCTGAGCATTTTACGACACGCAATGAGCGTCGTAAAAGGCCTTTTTTCTAGTAGTGTGTAGAAAGTCTTCATGAAGCTTGAGTGCCTAGCCCCAATAGTGTGGAAGCCTCAAATGGAATCACAATCATCAAAACACTTAGAATAACTTGAGAGAGTTCTACACTTCATGAAATCGGCTAGCCCTTTTTGTTACTCTCACTAGTGGCCGATTTTCTCAAGGATAATATCTTTATATAGTGTTACAATTAGGGTAAATCCTTAATTGTCATGGCTTTCCATTTCCTTGGATCCATGGGTTCAAATACACCATGGAGCATCCATGGACCATCCTATGGGTTTTGGCCCAACTTGATTATCCATGGAGCATTAGCCCACTATATAAGTATGGATGATTTACACAATCAACCCATATATTTAATTAGTCTTCTTTTGATCACTTAATTAATCCTAGATTAACTCTTGATCAATACTAATTAAATAATCTTATTATTCTTATTATTAATATACTATAACTTATAATATATTAATAACCATAAGTGTCTTATTTCTCTCATTATAGTCTATCCAAGTGCATGATGGTATGCAACCCAAATGGACCATGCCGGGTCGGGTCAAGTCTTACCAATTATAGTTATGGACTTAGACATTAATCCAACAGACTCCCACTTGGATAAGTCTAAAACTGTTATTGCGTATGACTTCAGGAATCAACTGGCAATCGTAGCTCTCAAAAGCTTCTGTCGAACTCTGACCTTGTTGATGAACTCTGACCTTGTCAATGACTTGTCCATTAGATAAGGGATCATATAATCCTCTGTTCTCATGATATCAGCCAGACAAATACATGGAACAACGTCGTACTTATTATCCAGCAGTTTGTTTCCCGATTTTCGATTTGTTTGACAAAGAACTTAATCGAACACATCAATTCAGTTCTGACCGGCCGGTACATAGGTCACAACAAAATCATCGAGGGGCCCAGATATCGCTTCTATTTCTAGAAGGAACAGATAAACTTCGACTCATATGCTTGTTCTACTACTTGTTGAATTGTACACAAAGGCACGTTTTATAACATCAAGTTACTGATGCGTTTACGTGCAATCAATGCAGAACCAACTCATAGGTAACAACTCATATCTCTAGGTTTGAAGATTTATATGATATTACCGTCTCACGATCACTCGAGATAAATTCCATGAAGTGATACAAGTGAACGTGGGTTTATTCCAATACTCATAACTTATGAGCACTCATGAATGTTGTAGCACCATTGCCATGACTAAATCCATTTAGCCATCTACAAACCCGATTCATGACAGTCTTGATTCATACCTACTTCCAACATATGAACGACTATGGAGTGTTTAAATAACTTAGTCATTCGGAAAGAATAACCTAGCTATTTTGGAAGTCAAAACATGCAAAGTGAAACACAATAATAATCGAATCTAATATGGTCTCAGAACCCTTTTGAATATAAATAAAACCACTTTTTATTTATCACCATATTGATTACACATTATTCAATGTTTCAAATAATCAACTTAAGACTCGAATATAACAATAGTCGTCCCATGCTCCTAGCATGTACACTTTGTTTTCTAAACAATAGTTATGCCATACCCCAAGTATGCACACTATGTTTGTCTATGATCCTTACATTGTGATGTAGATCAATTGAACATGATTCCAATGATACTCATTTCACAATCCCAAATCCTTATTGTAAATGGAAGAATTCCAAATTCATGTCATTTACTGAAATCTGTTAGATTCTAAACTTATATGCATTGATCCTCTTGTAATGATTATGCACGAAGTCAGAAAGACTTGACAACAACCATTACAGAGCATTCCAAAGGAGATCAGCTCCTTGGGAACATCCTTCTTGCATTAAGTTTCCTAATCTTACATAGATTGAATAACTTCCACCTATGGAGACATTTCCATAGTCCCATTTGACTATCACTTCCGAACAAGAGTTACCTCTTTTCAGAAAATGTCAATATGGTCCTACCAAAGTTATCACTATACTTCCAATTGTCCTTGAGAAACCAATCTTTGGTAAACCTTAGATTGTCCTCGACAATTGTTTAATCACTTTAGTCATATCCAGTTCTAGACTTTTCCCTTCTATATGCCTTAAGCATTTGGAAAATTTAGAAAGGATGAATATTATAGCACGTGAAATCGATCCTATATCCGAAGCATATGGGACACGATTCATGATGTTTGACATAAAGACATGATACTAGACCAGTCTTTTGCTACAATATTTTTATTTCCATGTTTTCAAAATTTAACTATGAAGAGGGATGCCGTAATCATAATCGAATTTTGAAAACGCAATATATATAGAATTTCCTTAAGTCGAACCATTCAGACATAAAATTCATATATATATATATATATATATATATATATATATATATATATATATATATATATATATATATATATATATATTCTTGACTAAAGATGATTAAAATCTCAATCTAAGCTTTAGAATTGAAATGAAGTATAATTTCCTCTCCCTTAATTATAGCAAAACAACCTTTCAACCCCTGCAACTTCATGAATTGAAACTTTGTTTTCTATAATTAACATTGCTAACTTGCAACACTAAACGTAATAATCATGCTCCCACTAACATGATGATTATCAGCATAACACTTATGCTCCCACTAGCTCTGACATATTTCCAGAAATCTGCTGGACTTCTGAAATTTAGATTCATACACCCTTTCTTAGATAGCTCACATGTGTGTCTAAATTTTTTTTCAGAACTATGAAAAGGGATGCCGTAATCATAGTCTCAATTTCTTAGGCATTTGCCATTTCTCACAAGTCCATGTTAGTGTGCCGGTTAACCACACGCGCTCCACTAATGACTTTTGAAAATGCAAATGACACAATTGATATCTACTTAAAATCTATTTAGTGAAAGTGTTTCCTCACCATCATTTTCATGAATCGGAGAGAAACCTTATGACACTTAGATTTTATAGTGTATGAGTTCCTATCCATGCGAATTTGTCAAAACCATAATCACAAGATAAGGTTAGTGACAAATTCAGCCCTACATGGATTAAACTTATTCAATCTTAGTTTCTTGTCACCTTGGTAGCACAAGGCCCACCAATGCTTCCAAGTTGAACTCTGATAACTCACATGCAAATCCAACTTATTTGAAGTAGGTACAGAAATAAGAATTATGTCAACACGATAGGTTGCAAACCTTAAGTCGTGTGCTAGTGATAAATTACAGGTTTCACTCTTGATTAAATCTTGAAACTCTTTTAGGATCTTTAAGGCTCCCACTGTCCCCTTGACATATAAGTTTTTCCTAGTCAAGAACCATTCCTTGACAAAACAAATATTCAAGGGATAGTGCGGATTCTTATCAAGACTAACACTTCACACAATTGGTCTTAGTTGGTCTTTGTCTCATCCAAGACATCACAACTTACCAATCTCAAATGTACAAGAGTAGAAAACATTTTACACTACATTTGATAAGTGTTTTAAACCTTACTTTATGTCACTCAATGTTACAATCTTGGAGTATGACTCTAAGAATTGTTTTGGAACGAAGTATGACTCATCTTCTTGATTTTAACCAATCCAACAATTCATGACCTCTCTTCTTAGCCATAACAATGCACTAAGACGTCCTTAGAGTATGAATTTGTAATATGGTTTCTAAATCATTAAGATGATCATAAAACTGATACTAAAGTACTCTCCTATCTTTTCAGATTTGAGAAACTTTTATCTTTCTGCCTAATTTAAATTCTTCTCATTTGTTTTGTCATACATTGGAACCTTTTCAATGTTACATAATTATACTTAACCTTATAAGTGTAATCATATTTACTAATCTTTAGTAAATCACGACAAATCAATCTTTGTGGTGGACCTTGACCAGTGCACACCCAGTGTACCTAATTCCTTAGTCCTTCAATTGACTCACATATACATGTGATCAAATAATTAGTCTTAATTTTTCAAAGATGAAAATTCTCATTCATCATACAATACAACTTGTATGATTCCATGTTTCTGTCCAATTGAAACTTGGGTGACGAAAAACTTTCTTCATTTGGTAAATTCAGACACTACCACAAATGAAGAATCAAATCCACTTTCCAATATTGCTATTACTGGAAACATATAAGCAACAATTTTCCACAGATGCCATTGTAAGGATATTTTAAAAATAAATAAAATTAAAACCCTTTTTTTTTCTTTTATTTTAAAATTTTTGCGGAAAAACTTATCCTTACAATCCACATGAAAAACTTGTTGTTATCTATTCATAAGCAATATATAATAACTCTTAAGCAACAGCTCAAAATCTGATTACCAAACCATGCGATCGAAACCCATCTTCGCAATCAAAATCAGCATATACTTCTTTAAGCTTCCTATCTTTTCTTTGATTCTTA